CCTCGGAAGACTCACGGTCAATCGAGGGTCAAACTACCCAAACTTGGTCAACCGGGCCCGCAAGGCCCACGACCTCCATTTCACAATCCGAAAGTTCCTGTGAGTTCCACAAGATATAGGAAACATATCCTACGAGTTTAGTTCAGATCAGACGGTCGGATCGCTCACGATCGCACGATCGGATGGTTATCGTAAAACACAAACTTTAAGTTATTAAATCGGAACATCCGGGGCTCCGATTCCCGATCTGCGAATTCCTACACGATCCTAGGAATACCTAAATCAACATATTTTAAATGGGAAGCGATCCAACGGTTCTAACATATCGAACCCGGAAATCACACAATATGTAAAATCCGTTCGGGGTTCAAACGTTATCCAAATTGAGATCCGCGAATTCCTACGCGCTCGTGACAACTAGGAGATCGCATTGGGACAAAATTCCCCTCTGATACAGTGCCCACGCGTGGGTGTCCAAAGCGATCACCACTCGCCGGAAAAACTCAAAATCAGGGGCCAAGACTCCTACCTTAGTTAATACACCTAATTTGGAGCCACTTTTGTTCTTGGACATACCCCAAAAAGTCGACGGAAGTGGCTGAAATCGGGGGCCGAAGCCGGCAGATTTTTCAATCGCTTAATTAACTACCATAACGCAGAAATTTCTCAATTCCTATCTAACCAGCAGCTAGATCATGAAAAGTAGTCGAAATTCCATACCTCATTCGTTCGATTTGGTGGAGAATTGAGGGAGAACGAGCGCTTGGAATTTCTGTCAAAACCGACGCCATTTTCTGCGTTTCCAACGAGATTCCGGCGGCTGAAGCGGCTGTTGTCGACGGGGAAGGACCGGGATGTGACGGCAGGGCTGAGCCGGTCCATTTGGGTCTGATCTCGAGGCCAGCCGTGGCCTGTAGCGACGGTGGTGGCTCCTTGGAGCCACCGGCTGTGTAGAAAAATATGAGAGGGGGAGGGCTGCTCGCAGGGGGAAGAGAGAGAGAGAGATTCTGGTTTTAAAACCAGTTTTGCAAAATTACAATTTTGTCCATACTTGAATTTTCCTCGTATCTCTCTCGTTATAACTTGGATTCGAGTCCGTTACGTGTCTACGGACTCGTTTCGACGTGCTCTACGCAACGGTATAACCGGAAGTCCCAAATTCCTTCCCGAACTTAAAATGACAATTTTGCCCCTTTTAAAAATTAAGTAAATATTTATTATTTTCCAAAACCCTTAATTAATTCAAATTATTTTATTTTTATTGTTTAATTCAATTTATTTTCTCATCCAAATTTATTTTCTCTTAATTTAATTATCTTAATTCTTTTTCGGACCGGGATGTTACAGAGACAGCTAAGAATTTGACTTGTCATGCTGCTAGAAAATCAATTGACGGTCAGATGTCTCATCCGGCGGATTCCCCGTCTTGGAAACTTGTTGATGATAAATGGCCCGAGTTTGGTAATGAGCCGAGAAACTTGAGATTGGCTCTTTCATCTGATGGATTCAATCCCCACAGTTCTCTAAGTAGCAGGTATAGTTGCTGGCCAGTTATCTTAGTTACATATAATCTCCCACCATGGCTGTGCATGAAATGAAAGTTCATGATGTTGACTTTATTGATTTCCGGTCCTAAACAACCCGGAAATGTACGTCTACTTGGAGCCTTTGATTGATGATTTAAAATCTTTATGGGATAGGATTAGAGGAGTGTATGATGCACACATAGGAGAAGATTTTACACTCAGAGCTGCATTACTGTGGACCATTAATGATTTTCCCACCTATGGAAACTTATCTGGTTGTGTTGTTAAAGGATATAAAGCTTGTCCAATATGCGGCGATGATACACCTAGTCACAGGTTGAAAAATGGCCAGAAAATTTGTTACATTGGGCATAGAAAATGGTTCCCAATTAATCATCCATATAGGAGGCAACGTGCAGCTTTTAATGGGAAACCTGAATATGGCACGCCTCTGGAGCCATTAAGGGGAGAAGAAGTGCTGCATATGGTTGAAGATATTAATTACATATGGGGATCGAAAAAAGGGGGAGGTGGAGGTGAAAATGATGGTGACAGAGTTTGTTGGAAGAAGAAGTCAAAATTCTTTAATCTTGAGTATTGGAAATACCTTCCAGTGAGGCATGTCCTCGATGTTATGCACATTGAGAAGAATGTTTGTGATAGTATCATTGGTACATTGCTGGAGATCCCTGGAAAAAATAAAGATGGGATTGCTGCTCGGTTAGATTTATTGAACACGGGGGTCAAAACTGAACAACGACGATTTTACTTCTTGATTCCTTTATCGCATCCATACGTGTACATATTTTTTTTGAAAATGCCGCACAAAAAGTGAAGAGAAGAACTTAATTTTCTCTGAATCTTCCCCTATTTTTGGGGTAAAATTGTACAAATGCGTCGACCTGATTTTTCTGCAAGTATGGCATTGGCATGAAATCGTGAGAATGATGGGGATGTGCATATGTGTGCGTTTTTTTTTTTTTTTTTTTTCTGTCCCCTTGTTTTTGATATAGTGAGAATCTGGGTCTTCAGGCTATTCGTGAAGGTGCTGGAACTTACGCACTTTTCCCTTTTTTTTTTTTGTTTTTTTTTGTTTTTTTTTTTTGTTCTTGCAGATATCTGTGACTCAGTGACCTTTATCATGGCATCTACCGATCTTCCGCCAATCATGATGGACCACCTCTACTCCATGGATGACACTCTTAAAGAAGGGGGGCCCCTTTTGCCACTCGAAGGGGCCCGCCAATCATGTAAAGATGACGGTTTTCATAAAAAACCGTTATCTTAACCTACAATACACGACGGTTTTCATAAAAAACCATCATCTTAACCTACAATACACGACGGTTTTATTAAAAACCGCCGTCTTTCCTCCTATAATTAACGATCTTTACCTCTAAACAACGACGATTTTCTTTAAAAACCGTCGTCTTTATAGATAAACAACGACGGTGAAAAGCCGTCGTAGTTTGACACCCAAAAAGATGGCGGTCGATTTAACGACGGTTTTCAAAGCATTACAACGACGGTGGATCCCCGTCGTCTATTTTGTTTTTTGTAGTAGTGGTTAATCCAACTTTTTCAAGAGTTGGTTGGTAGCTTGCTTTATTTGACTGCTAGTAGGCTTGATATCACATTTGGTGTTAGGCTTATTAGTATGTTTATGGAAGCTCCAAGACAATCACACATGCAGGCAGTAAAAAGAATTTTGAGGTATGTCAAAGACACTCAAAGTGATGGTATTTTCTATTCTAGCAATTGTGGATTTGATCTTGTGGGTTATGCGGACAACGATTGGGCTAGAGATGTTGATGCAAAGAGCACCTCAGGTTATGCTTTTCACATTGGCTCTGGTGTTATCTCTTGGTCATCAAAGATGGAACAAGTTGTGGCTCTTTCTTCTACAGAAGCAGAGTACAATGTAACCACCTATTATGCTACTCATGCAGTGTGGATGAGATAATTGCTTGGTGTTCTGCAGCAAGAACATAAAATTCCAACAACTATATTTTGTGATAATAAGTCAGCTATAGCATTGTCAAAGAACCCAATCTCCTATGGAAGGACCAAGCATATTTGTGTGAAAATGCATTATATTCGTGATTTGGTGAAAGATAAGGAAGTTAAAGTTCAATACTATCCAACTGCATAACAAATTGCAGACATACTTACAAAGGGTCTCAAGACAAATATGTTTGTGAAGCTGAAGAAGATAATGGGAATGATGAATTATGATGAGCTTGGTTTAAGGGAGGCTGTTGGAAGTTAAACCAAGCGCACTTTAAGCCCAAGCCCACTTTAATATTTTTAATTATTGTTGTAAAACCTATAGGCCTAAGTAGCAACTTTTGGTTTCTCAAGAAGATAAGTTGCCACTTAGTATTCTGAAGCTTCAAGGCTTCTCTCTCGTTTTTGTTGCTCATCCCTTCTTTATTGGTGATGATGCTTCTTTATTTTGGCTGTGAACAATTATTGAAAGCCTTCACTTTCTTTTTTGCTCTAGTTCATTTCTCCCTTGTTAATTGTTGTGTGAGATTATTGTGTGTTGGCTTGATTCGTGAGTTAATCTGTTGTGGGTTATGTTTCAATTGCTATTTCTTACACTTTTCAACAACTAAATGGATTATAAACTTACAAAACAATACAACAAACTGTGGAAAGGGAAGACTTCAAGATATATTAAGCCCAGCTATTTAAAATTCAATTCCCGTAATCATATTGCAGCCCTCCAAAATGGCATGCAAACCAAGCCAGTTGGATCTTAAAAAGACCCAAAAGCTAATCACCTCATTCTTAACACATACCCAACCCAATTGAACCAAAACAAGAAAACCCAAAAGAATAAACATAAAAAAGAAACGAAAAACATCTTCAAATCATCCCCAATTTCCTAGATCTCCATAAACCAAGAAAGTCAAACATAGCAAAAATCATTTCTTTAACAAAAGTCAAACAAACCAACACCACTCAAATCAAAAGAAACAGAATTTAGAGCTCCATAAAGAGAGAGTAAAAAGCTTTTTCCTTTATTTACTTTATTTCTTTTATTTCTTGTAGAGAGAGAAAGAGAGATGCCAAAAAAAAGTACAGCACTAGCTTAGTTGGGCTATCAAAAATAGTTTGGTAGTAAGATGTACTCATTTACGTTTGATTAGGGTTGAATAACGTAAATACGCATCACTACATACTAAAACTCTGATGGCTGTAAAATCAGTCTGTTTCAACACCCAGGAAGAAAATTGCCAGAAGCTTCGTCATCCATTGATGAGAGCGATATTCGCGAAGCAGACAATCCAAGTGGCCTCTTGCAGAGCATACAGAAATGCTTTCTGTTTCAAGATTGGATCTTGGGAACTATCAAGAAATGCTTTCCTAACATCAATCTGTTTCAACTCCCAGGAAGCAAATTCCCAGAAGCTCTGCGAGCCATCCGCAATAATGATACTGAAACCGACAATCCAAGTGGCCTCTTGTAGAGCATGCCCAAACAGATTCAGTTTCAAGATTGCATCTTGCGTATCAAGAACTCTAAAGCCCCTAATGTCAATCTATTTTCAAAAGTATTGATTATCAGAATTCTGGCAGTTGGTTTTCTTTGTGGAGTAGCAACTGGGCTTGAACAGGAAGAACGTGGTCATGTTGGTCATCTAAACACAAAGCCGATTACGATGATGATTTTGGTAGTTATGGCCTTCCTGTTGTGGTTTTTCTACAATTGGTTCTTCGCGAATGGTAGACCAGAAGCAGAAGGTGCAGGGCAAAATCAGCAAATGACTCCTCCCACCATATTACGATGTTGCCTAAGTTTTGGGCTTGATCCGAAATCAATTGGTGTAAGAAATTGGACAATTCATGTTCGTACGAAGTTTGTGCCTTAAATGGAGTGGTTGGTGTATCGCATAGTTTTAGCGATTGAATTTCACTCAAAACTCACAACATGACTCCTCCTACCTTTTTATGATGTTGCCCAAGTTTTGGGCTCGATCCGAAATCAATAGGTGTAAGAAATTGGACAATTCAAGTTCGTACGAAGTTTGTGCCGTAAATGGAGTGGTGGGTGTATTGCATAGTTTTAACGATTGGATTTCCCTCAAAACTCACCAAATGACTCCTCCCACCATATTATGATGTTGCCCAAGTTTTGGGCTTGATCCGAAATCAATTGGTGTAAGAAATTGGACAATTCATGTTCGTACGAAGTTTGTGCCTTAAATGGAGTGGAGGGTGTATTGCATAGTTTTAGCAATTTGATTTCACTCAAAACTCACCAAATGACTCCTCCCACCATATTATAATGTTGCCCAAGTTTCGAGCTCCATCCGAAATCAATAGGTGTAAGAAATTGGACAACTCAAGTTTGTCCAACGTTTGTGGCTTAAATGGAGTAGTTGGTGTATTGCATAATTTTAGAGATAGGATTTCACCCAAAACTCACCAAAAGACTCCTCCCACCAGATTATGATGTTGCCCAAGTTTTGGGATCGATCTGAAATCAATTGGTGTAAGAAATTGGACAATTCATGTTCGTACGACACATATACAAATATACCAAAATTTTAGGTCATTTTAAGATCTTTAGATGTGTCATTTGTTAATCCGCACACATGGTACATAATCTGTCGGGAAAATTCCTCTGCAACTGTTTCAACTTTATAAAACCACCAAAAATTCAATTCTTAATATATTTTCATGAAAGCAATGCCGAAAGAAACCTTAAAAAGTCTTACATAGTTTTATCATGAACTAATTCGACGTGAGCAAGATCCAAACATACATAATAGAATGAGAGTTCACAATTGAAAACTTAACAAATATAAAATTTCTGAAAAATAACAAGTACCTTAAGCGATTTTGATATTGTGTCCAAATTGTACGCACTATATGTTTGTACAAATTATCTTTGGGGAGAATATTCGTGAAAGATCCTCTTCCTCACTCGATCGTCTTCTTCCTTGATTCTTGCAAAATGGATGCGGTCAATGGAGCCCACCCGAGAGGTGTTGGCCAAAGGCCTTCCGATGCCTAAATCAGTTAAATGGTCTTAATAACATACAACTTTAACTAGAAAGATGGAGCTTTCTCTTCGACAAGAGAGAGAAAGAGAGAGAGAGGGGCGGTGGCCATGAGAGAGAGAGAGAGTTTTCTCTAGGGTTTTTGGAATTATCTCATGTGTGATGAGATGTCATCTTTATATAGTCTCCTCCTTGGTTAGGGTTTGTAAAGAATAAGGGTTTACTAGTGAAATACCCCCTGAACTTGTACCTTGCTTTCAATTAGCCCCCTATCCTTTTTTTTAGAAAATTAAGGATATGAACTTTTTTTTTGTTGCTAATTTCCCCCTTACCGTCTAAATCATCAACATTTCATCCAATTTTAGGGTTATTTTAACGTACAAAATTACTATTTTACCCTCATAAACGGCAAATTGGATGAAATGTTGCGGATTTAGACGGCAGGGGGGAAATTGGCGGAAAAAAAAAGTTCATATCCTTAATGTTCTAAAAAAAGAGGATAGAGGTTAATTGAAAATATGGTACAAGTTCAGGGGGCAAATCACTAGTATACCCTAGAGAATAATTCCCATAAGTGATAGATTAATTAGTTTGTAGAGCTAGGTCTTGGGGAAGAAGGGATAAATTATCCGATTGCTGGAACGAAGTTGAGATCCTCAAGACCTTCTAGAAGTATACTCTGTTTGGGTGGGAGATACCAGTAAAGTGGCATGGTGATAGAGCCAAGCCAAATAACAGCACCAGAATGTGGGGTTAGCTGTAAACCCCGAGATGCTAAGAGCTAAATTGCTGTTGGAGAATGTGAGTTTTGTAACAAAATCATATGTTCCTTCAGATAGGCCTTAAAAATTGCAAATGGAGGAAAACAAAATTTATGGAAGAAACCAATGCAGTTCCATCATAGCTCTTAGTACGTAGCAATTGTTTCAAGAATTGAAAAGAAAAAAAAAACAAGCAAGAAACAACTCATCATCATAACAATTCTGAGGACGTATAATGGAAGCCAAAAACAAAATCAAATTGGCGTTGTAGTAGGCCATCTCTTGATAGTACATCGACCAAAGAGGGAGCGAGTCTAGACACCCAAACATGGTGGCACACCCTCGTAATGGCCAAAGCTACAGCATAATCAAATTCATTGATAAAGTCTTGGGTAAATTTGCAAGACTTTTGGTGTTAAGAATTAGGCGTAAAAGTATTGAGAAGTCATTCATTTAAAAAAAAAAATTCAAAAGTCATTAATTTTTTAGATATCACAAAACTTTTAAAGACTTTTAAAATCACAATTGAATACCACTAAATTTTTAAAGACTATTTAAAAGTCATAGTTCAATACCTCCAGACTTTTAAACTCATAGAATTGAATACACCCCCCTAAGTTAGTAGATGGTCTCAAGGTGTTGGTTGTTCAAATCTTACGACATGGCGTTTAAGGCCGAGAGGATATGCTCCAGTACAGGTTGTCCTACTTTGTGTTGTATGGGGTATGCTTGGGCGTGCCAACACAGATTACCATGGGGTTGATGATGATGCAGATAGATCAATTGGATGTGTAGATTGCGCCTGTTTGATGACTTCGCTCAAAGCTATTGTAGCCGAGAGAGGATCAATTCTCGGCCGTCAAGTTCACGACCTAAGCTACAAGGCCGTTGATAGTGGTGTTGGAAACGACGATCAGTAGATTTGGATGATGCTCCAACCCCTTACTAGATGATAGATGACCACCGTACCTCTTAGTCTTCCACCTTTTTAGTAATGTGTAACATGTGTACTAAATATATATACAGGATTTTTGTAGAACTGTCACCTGAACTTATAAGGTGTAACCTGCACAATATATTGTAAATTTAGTATTTAATGCTTGTAACCTATATATGTTGTAAATTTTGTATTTACTTTAGCCTATAAATTGATGGCTCCACATCATAGTTGAATAAAAGAAATGGATAGGTTTTTGTTACAAGACAAAAAAATCTAATCTTTTGTGGGCCCTTGTGGCTAAATGTTTGAACAACCCAAAATTGTCTTTCCTTGGTCAGCCTACTTGCGGAACATTTTTCTTTTTCTCAGCCATTTGTGGTTTTTGTCTTCGTAGCTAGCAAGGCTACTGACAAAGACCAGGGGACCAACTCTGAAAGAAATACATGCATCAATTGCCATTTTCTTTAATAACTTGAACCATGCATTTGCAAAGGAACGAACACAGATCTCCTCTTACTTTTTTCTTCTTTTTTTTCAGAACAAGCAGAAATTCATTACAACAGGGCAAGTACAAAAGATTAACAGTAAGAACACACCCCAAGTGGAGGTTCTTGCATACAAATAATCTAGAAAATTAAATCCAGCAAGACAGTGAGAAAAACAAAGTACAAAATCAAGCCCAGCTCACTCAAGAGTTGAAAGTAAGAGGATCTAGTCTGTAAAACTACGAGCACAAATGTCTGGCTTCTGCTCCTATTCCTGATTTGTGCATAGCAATAAAGTATAGTAGCTAACCAGAGAGTTAAGGTTTTCTCATCATTACTCATGATAAAGACTTTAGTTTGGAAACTTGTTTTGAAGAAATTTAGTACCAGCCTCATCCTCTATCACAATAAGTGGTGAACAATGGAACAAATACAAGCATCACTTGTGCCTATCCTCTTCAGCAATGACCAAGGCCGCATGTGTCAATAATTTCAGTAACATGTTGGGATGCACAGTACACACACCGACTTGAGTCCAGCAAACCACTATTAATCCTCTAGATTAATCAGAATGTCATCCTCCAAATTCTCAGGTGTCTCGGGAAAGAATTCTTCATTTGGATACAACTTCTGGAAAAGCTGTCAAGTGCAAACGTTGACACCAATTTCATAAGGGTGTTAATCAAGGGATATATAATAATAAAAAGTTAAGCTTAATGAAACAACACAAGATGTCGATAAAGAGATAATAATACCAGCACAGTTGCATCTAACAGATCATTGTAGCACAGATTTCCATCTGGCATGGGAGTTGAAATAAGATATTCGTGTTGATCCTGAAATTAATGTAAATCAGAAAAGATATCACAGCTCATACCTACCTCACAATCCATGCCCCATATACAAAAAACCACAACATGGTTTCACGAAGAAAATAGGATTTTTCAGTAACTCGAAGTTCTGATGGTTTTAATGTCAATCACGAAAAGGTAACAAAATATTTACTCACATTTTCATTTTGACCCTCACTCATTGTTTGTATGTGTACCATTTGGTGGGGAGAGAGGAGAGAGGAGAGAGAGAGAGAGAGAGAGAGAGAGAGAGAGAGAGAGAGAGAGAGAGATGAGAACAAGTCATCACCTTAGCATCTCCTAACCTAAAACATCTACGACAACAAATCAACATTATCATCATCATGATTTGACATCAAAAGAAAAAGAATAAGGCTGCATAATCAATGTGAGTAACATGTAGAACAAGTGAGAAACAAATTTAGTGCAAACAAACAAAAGTCAAGATGAGAGGTGTACCATAGTCAGCTCCTGAATATACAACGTGCTCCAAATTAAGGTGGGTTTTACTTCTGCTTTTTCACCTTGAACTGTGGAAGCTCTTTCAGGATTTCCAGACATAGGAAGTGTGAGAAGAGCATTCTTGACTGCTTGTAGCAACCTTTTTCCTTGCTCAGCATCTTCACATAGAGCTGAAAAGTACAGCAGAAACCTAGAGACAAGAAGGTAATGTAAAGAAGTGTGGGCAGCTTAAAATTTTGTTATAAGTGTATCTAATATATATATGAAAGTATCAAAATAGACAACGGTCATGATCTGGTGTATAGAAGTCAAAGTCTGTTTATGTAAACAATCCTGAAAGATTGTATCAGTAATAACTGAGTATATAAGGGTCCAAAACCATCAATAAATAGTTTCTGCCTAAGTTCACTTATTTCTAGGAATAAAGACCATGTACTTAGCTGTTCCATCTCATGACCAAAGGCTTTGCACATTCATTCATTTTCAACCAACTTGAGCTATAAAAACTTGACACCTACACAAAGATACCGTTCTTTTCAGCTATAATGAAACCTAATCCAAAGATGGAGGTGGCAAGTGGTAATTCTTTTTCCTCTCTACCTGTTCACAAAGATATCACCACTATAGCATTGGAGGATCCCTATATCTAAGCATAATTCTTGATTTTGCACATGTGATGCATGATTTCCAAAAGATTCAGTGACAACATATAAACAAATGTAAACTCAATATGAAAATAAATAATAATTGTTTGTATATCTCTCTGTATGTGTGTTTGTGTCACAGAGAGAGAGAGAGAGAGAGAGAGAGAGAGAGAGAGAGCTTGTTTTCAAATAGCATAAACATACATGCCCTTTGGACAAACACCCGTTTCCAAACTGCCACATATCTGGATAATCCAGATTGAGGTATCCTGTTCGGGGCACAAAGCTGGGAGGGAAAAAGGAAAGAAAATGATTATTATTATCTTTTCACATTTACAGCAAAGCACAATAAAAACCTAAATGAATTCTTACATCTGGGAGGACATACAAGCACACAATTTGATACATCTGGCTTCAAGGAACTGGCTGTAATACATATTCCCCTAGCCACCTTTCCTTTATCATCTTTCAGACTTAAAACTTGAAGACCTTCTCTTAGAAGGTTTGGTGGAGATGAAGTTGGTGCCAATGTAACGGTGAAGGTTGGATCCAAAACAAGGTGATGGCTAAACAAATCTTGACCTGATGCTAATCTAACACCCTTATATTGTCCACTATCCTGCGATATTCTCAAGCCATTGCAAATATGAATTTGCATGTAATTCAGGTACCAAGTTAGTGTATTAATATAAGTATCTTATATTAAAAACAATAGAATTATACTCACTCCCATACCTTATCCATAAGCACAGCACTAACTGGCGTATGCAAAGCCTGCATGACAGTTTTTTCAGACATGTATTACAAGTTGTAATTTACAACATAATATATACATACATACATATATATATATACACACACACACAGAGGACACCCTTGTAAGGCCCACAACGCATTGTATTCCACTAATCCAAACAATCTCACTTGAATCCGATATCATTTGACAACTTAATTAAATTATTGAAATTCAAGTACTTTCTTGAAGCACCGTGTTCTTTGATTTTGTTGGTCTCAATTGGATGCCTTAATGATTTTCAATTTGCATGAATTTTTTCAAGGATTATCTCTGGACGAAGATGAGAAAAATAGATGGTTTGGATCGTTGAAAAAAAAATTGTAGGGGACCCTAAAGGGTGTCCCTTAATAGAAGGGGACTGCATGTATATATATATATATTATATTCAGGCTAAATCAGGGGGGGGTTCCCTTTTTTTTTTTTTTTTTTTTTTGCAAGAAATGCGAATTATTAGCAGGGACTTAAAAATTAGGTAGTTCAAATTATTGAACCACAATGCGAAATGGGTGCCACAAGCAATCCCCATTCCTTGACAACAAATGAGGATCCCTATCTTGAAGGACCTTTGTATATGTAAACATATGTTATTCTTTAAAAAAAAAAACAATATTCTTTCATTACTTTTCTCGAAAAACTAATAAAGCAAATAATTGTTTTCAACTCTCTCTTCTTTAATTACTTCACAAAGATATTTTCCTTTTTACATTTTATTTTCCTATATGTGCATCTCCCTCTCTTCCCCGCCATAACTATTTGGAAAACTAGGGAGGTCATGACAAGGTGCGGCATTTAATGCACCACTGCAGCATCTTTGTTTTTCCTTATTTTCCTCGTAGTTTGTGTTTTTTAAGTTTGATTTCTGGTTTGCTGGTGTTTTTCCTGAGTAGTTTTGGAGTGTCCTTCTCTAGTTTCTTCCTTCTGGTTATCAATTTTAATTTGCGGTTTTTCACTTGGTTTTGATGGAATTCAGACTTTAGAATGAAATTAATTGATTAACTTGTGGACATGAATTGAGTTGTCTTGATCAGGACATCTTTGTCAAACCCATTAGGGTTTATAGAAGAAAGATATGGAAGATGAAATTATTAGTTTCCTAATTTATTTATTAGTTTTCTAGGTTCTCTATGTTTTCCAGATTTCATAGAATTTCTATTTTTTCCAGTTTTCCAAGTTTCCTATTTTATTTGGATTAGGATTTCCATCTTAGAATAAGTTTGATTTGCCTTTTCACTGTAGGGTTAGATTATTATAAATACCCTTTCTATGTAATTCGTTGTGGAATCGAGTTGTTGAGATATTAATAAAAGTTTATTTTCCAAAGATTGGAGACTTCTTTGGTGTGAAGCCAAACTCCTGGAGTGATTCCAGACCTATCCTTGTTCATTCTATTTTCTATTTAGCATTGCTTTCGCTTTCGCTAAACTACCTAAATCTACAATTCACCCGTATCCTACATCATGTCTGAGTTCAGAAAATGAAATTAACTTGTGGACATTAATGGAGTTCTCGTTCTTTAAACTGAGATTATTTCTTACCTTCATTTTGTTTGGGTATTTTCTTAGAAAATACAAACAAAAGGATTTAAACAAACTTAAAAATGGAAAGAATTCTTTCTTCTCATAGAAATAATTTGGCATCCAAGGTCTTTAGGGGTTTGATCAGAAGAACTGATGTTTCATTTGTTGTTGCGTTAATGGTATGATGGAGAAAGCCAACAACACTCTTGAGTTTTGAGTTGAGGGGTGCAAAACTTCCTGTGGACAAGCTTGTGTGATATACTCATAGCAATTTTCATATTCATTGTAATCCAAGCTGAAGTTTGGACTTTATGACAAATACTCATAGCCATGGCCACCCAGACTTGATCATCTGAATTGAGTTTCCGATTCGCTACTAATTTTCAGACTTTGACTCTTTTAAAGGTGGAAAAGAAAAGTGGGAACTACAAGCTGGGCAAAAAATTTCAGAGTTTTTGAAACTATAATTTTCAAAAAGTTTGGAGAGGAAATGAAATTTAAAAAGTTTTTTCGCTTTGGAAAGAGAGGAGACAAATCGGAAATTAAAATATAATGATCTTTTTTTTTTTTTTGAAAAGAGACGAAGAAATTAAAATATAATGATTGCAATAAAGTATGAATGTTTTCAATGTGAATTTAATTAATACTTAATATATGATGCAATCTCAACCATTTAAACTGTTTTAATCTAATGGTTTACAAAGTGTGTCAGTGTGTGTCAAAACTGTGTGCCCCCCATCCTGACCCTATATATATATATATATATCAATTAGTGAAAATGAACATAACTCCAACTCCTGTTAATTGTCTATCCAAAAAAAATCCCATTAGTTAAAGTAAATATGTTGATGTATAAAATTAAGGAAACCCCACCATTTTCATTATATAACATGATTCACCAATTTGGGGAATGCACAGAGACAACTAACAAATTTAAACAAGACATACCATATTGGCCCAAAAATTAGTAAATGAAAAAGGGCACATGCATATGAAAAAGTATATGCAAGGCAAAAGTGGTGTGGGATACTTTTCCTTTATATTTTTATTTTTATTTTTATTTCTATAAAAAGGGTAACATATACTTCCACTTTAACTTACAGTAATGCAACCTTTAACAGCGGCTCGGCGGGGAAAGGCAGCTGATAAATCCCCATGGCCATATTCAGGATAAGTCCAAGCTCCATGGGCATTTGTCGACCTAATAACAAGAACAAAGAATTTATATGTGGGATACTGATATAACTAGATTCTTCTATATACAGATGAACCATAAGTATCGAGATAAGGTGCACATTGAAGTCATTGGATCAAATACTAAGAAACATGATTCATTAAAAAGTTAAATTCCGTAATCCTAAATCATGGCCATCAAACATTGTACAGTTTCTTCCATTGTAATTTAATTATTCACAAGCATATCTCTTCAATATCTTCAAATTGACCATGCATAATAATAAAATAGTACACATTTTATAGGATGAACACATAGGTACCAGGTTCAGCATCACTAGAATAATACTATACAGAATCTAAAAATATAGGATAAATGTTATTAACAAAACTTAATCCCAAAAAAATCCACTAACCTTGAACTGTGGTAGAGGGCTAAACGCTCTAACCCATCTCTTGTCTTAAGTTTACTTTTACAAACTTCCAAGTCGTCTTGACCACAATCTACCATGGCAATGCAGTGAATAATCCTAGAGGTGAAAATGACACAAAATGTAAGCACAGTCAAAATCAATTAAGAAAAAAAGAAAGAAAGAAGCATAATTCCAGATAAAGAAAGGCAAAGTTATTGATGTGTACAATTTTATTTTGGGTGGCAACTGCATTCTATTTATGAAGTCAATAAAGGGACTCTCCAAGTCCTCCTCTGAAATCTTGGAACTTTCACTATTGTGGCTCCCTTCTTGGTCACCGCCAATACCATGAGAGGCTTCCAAGTACTGCTCAAGAAACTTGAAGAACCTTGCTAACATACTTTTCTCTTTAAGGCTTAGGCTCCTGTCTTTAAACATTTCTATTCGCGAGTGTGGAATATTCCTTAATTGCCCACTCTCATCACAAACGAAAATTTCACCGATGTTCTTGAATTCCAAGAATCCACATTCAACATACAATTTCAGTCCGGATTTCATCAAAAGGTCAGTGGCTTTGTCAGCAGGGAATAGCAACCTAGGACCTCCAAGGTCGATGGTGAATTCTCTCGGGCAATGTTTTGCAAGGATTTCAGGGGCATAGGTGGCAGTCTCAATATTAGAGTATAACAACTGGGGTTTCAAGTCTATGGCAATGTAATCATGGTCGAGACTAGGATCAATAGAGGTGGTGTTAATGGTGGCAGTGGTGATGTGATCTGTAGAATGGGAATTGAGGAAGGAGGTGAGGTCATTTGGGGGGAGAGAGGCGAAGTGGCTGCCATAAAATGGGTTGGGGTCAAGGTGGAGGACAGTTTTTCCAACAGCAGAAGCTGCGGCGGCAATTACTGATCCAGGGATGCCTGTTCCAATGACAATAAGATCGAAAGTTGTGGGTTTGATTGGACCCCCAGGACAGAAGAATCCACTCATGGCAGTCGGTGAGGGCAGTATTATGCTTGCAAGAGTCAAGTTAAAAACCCTTATTTGCACACGAACCTGTTACACTACCACTTACAAGAAAAACTAAATCAAATAAAAAGAAACTGAGTGGTAATTATATTATATTTTATTTAGGGACAAGAACCAGAGAGTTTTAAAAACTAGTTGTCTGGTATTGATTATCATTTCAAGCAATTAAATATAGCAGGAAACCAACAGAAAAAATAGAAAATTCAGCAAATTACTATCAGAAAGAAATCCATTGCAAATCATCACTAATTTAAAGATTATTACTCAGTCACATGAAAAGAGAGCCCTAAAAACTGAAGAAAACGAAGAGACAGCTCACCGGAGAACAAGTTCAGATGAAAAACTGAAGATTCATGCGTCTGCTAGTCTTCCGAATCTTCCCCCTCTACCAAACCACCCAACTCAACTTCATCAATATAAATATATATTTAGTAGACCCACAAGGAAATATATATTTAGCAAAATTAAGATGCAAACAACTCAGAACTGTGAAATGCAACAAAATAGAACGATTCCTATAAAGAAAGCATGTTTAAACAACAATAATGAGAAAATTAAAGGCATAGAAATCCATTTCTTAGAAATCCCGAATCAAATGAGGGGCATAGAAATCCATTTCTCAGAAACCCTAGACCACAATCCTAAGTTAAAACAACCTTTTAGATTTGAATAATCCAATTATAGTTAGAAAGAGAGAGGAAGAGAAGGAGATTTGTTACCTTGCACAGGTAGCGATTACAAGGGGGGCTGGGAGTACCAGGGCCACCGCCAAGGGCGTGATGAACGGAAATGCGACGAGGAGTGATAGATTCTCCCCCGGAGATTAGGGTTTCAGAGAGAAGAGAGAAGATGGAGAGGTGCTTTGATAGGGAGGGAGATGAAAATTACAAAATGGCCGGGCCGGGTTTTAGGAAATTCATCAATTCTGGCCCGAGCTTAGACTGGATCACTAAACAAGTTAATATGGGCCCACGTCAAATTGAGTTATGTATTGCATTTTTTTAAATTTTATTTAAATTTTTTTTACTATTATATATATACTAATAAAATTTATTATTTGTTAAAAAAAAAATAGGAGGTCAATATCTTTACTAAAAGTACATTTAATAGAAAATAACTAGACTATTGTTTTGATTTTAAAAATTAAAATTTGAAACAAAAAAATATTATTTTATATAATAAAAAATATTAAATTTTAAAAAAGCGCAGCCTCTACTTGAAAAGAATAATTAAAAAATTATGATCCTACTGTTTGGGCCCAAATTTAGCACGCCAAAAACAAAAGCCCACACCATCTCCTAGGCCGCTTGTATCAGACGACCTCAAGCCCATCAGCACGACCCAGCCTATTAAATGAGTGGACAGGCCAAAATCACGGCCCAAAACATTAAAGGGCTTGTGAATGATAGGAAAAACTTGGGCCTCGAAGAAATCCAAAGTTAGGCTCAAAAGCAAATTAGACTCAAGCTGGCCTTCAAAACAGAACAGTCCCACGTGATCCCTGACTTGGAGGAGTCAATAATTTCGGCTGAAAACTGGAAATAGAACAGGAGCAGGTATAAAAGAAGAAAAAATCTAAAGTAGCTTGCTACCAGAAGATTAGAACCCGCTTAGTTTATCTAAAAGATATTCTGATATTTTGGAGGAATACCATTTTCGAGGATAAGCAGACTCTGTTTTTATAAAAAGAGAGATAAGCGGGAAACATGAAACTGTCCAAAAGCTGAGAGCCAGCCATCTCCAAGGCTCCAGACCTTTTGCAGAAGCAGGTGGAATGGAAGAACAGGCAGGGCACTCCATCAAAAATACAGAAGTGGTCACCTCAGGAACTAATCGTTGAGTGCTTACTCGCCAGAAAATGGATAGAACCCCTGTTTATTTCATTTTAAAATTAAAAAGATCTTTTGATTACTTGCCGCCCATTCTCGGAGGAACACTTCCTATA